GCTTATCTGTTTTCAGCGGCCCATTTTAAATTCGGCTAATGGTTTACCCTGAAATAATTTTGACAAAAAGGAGAATTTGGATCTTAAAGTTGAATTGGTGTTTAATAAAATGATATTTTTATAATATAATAAATTTATTAGTAATAATATTTTTATAAAAAATATTATTTTAATAAGTTATAATATAAATTATAAATATAAAATATATTAAAAAATAAAAAAAATTATTAAAATAATTATATTTAAAATTAACGTAATTAATATAAAATAAAAAAATATTATGTTTTTTATAAAAAAATTATATTAAAAAAATGTAAACTTAATTTTTTTTTATTAAAGTCAATTCGATCTAAAAATAAAATCTATTTTATTGATCATATCCCAATTTAATTAAAATTTAATTATTTAAAAACAATTTCCTCATTTTTAGTCTAGTTTTTGGTTATTCGATTTAATTTTTAAAATAGTAATTAGAATGAGATAAAGATAATGAATATTTCAATTAATTTTAATAACATCATTTTTATTCTTATGGTTTTAGGATAAAGATAATTAAGATATCAGTATTCATTTTATTTTATAACATAAACTTCTTGATCCGTTTTTTTATAATATTATGTACTGTTGTTGCAAGAAATTCTCAATGTATATGAATTTATATTAAACCCAATAATGATTGTCATTCTTAACAACCCTTGCAATAATCTTGTGCCTACAACATCGAGTGCATGATCATGTTTCTATCTTCCTTTTCGATCATTATTACTGTTACTACTATATCGAGTAGAGACATTTCTAATCTTGTAATATGAATAGGGAAAGAAACATTCATATATAAATATGAGAATCTGATCCATTTGAATTCTCCCTACTAAGCTATTCTGAGTTTGCTGGCTGCTGCTATCATGATATAGAAATGACCTGATAAGCACTCACCAAATCATGCTTATCTATCTTCTGTCAATTCAATGGTTGAAGTTGGAGTGCTTTCTTTAAACCTGTATGTCCCCGTTGAATTATTGATTTCTGCAACTTAATCAAAGCGTTGTAACTCCTTTTATTAAGCTATTAATTTAATTATATTTAAGATATAATTATTTAAAAAAATATATTGAATCAATATTTATACGTATAAATTTAATAAAGTTTATAATTTTATATTACTTTTTTATCATAATTTATTATTAAAATTAAAAAACATTTTTTTAAAAATGATTTATGAATGATATTTGTTTTATATATTGATCTCTTTGTCTATTTAAACTAATAATTTCAATTATATTATAAAAGAGAAAGATGACATACACAAGTAAAAATATATATAATGTAAAATATTATTATCTTAAAATAATATAAAAATCAAAATTTTAATTTTATTAATTGATTTTTAGAATAAATAATTTATATTATAAAGATTTGAATTGATTTTTGAAATAAATAAAAAAAAGATAAATCTAAATTTAAATACTCTTCAAATAATATTTTTTCATTTGAATCTCCACCTCTATTTATAATATTATAAAATTTTTATAAATAAAATATTATTCTTTAAGAAAAAAAATTAAAATAAAAGTAAATAATATATATATATATATATAAATAATGATGACTAATATATAATTAAAAATAAAATAAATAATATAAATAAATAAAAATAATTAGTAACTAAAAATAATTAAAATAGGATTAGTACATAAAATAAAAATAAATATAGAAAAAATGAGATTAGAATTACCTTATTAAATAATCATGATTATAAATAAAATAATAAATATATAATTTTCTTATTTTGTAATTATAAATGATACACCCAAATTTTACCAAAATTATTTATATATATATATATATATATATATATATATATATTTTTTTTCATGACCTCTTCTATATATCAATTAAAATTTAATTTAATTTTCATTTTTTTTACATTTAATACAAGGATAAATTTTAATTAATTTATTTATTTATTTGATACTTGTCTCTTTAAAAAAATTCTTATTTGATATTTGTAATAATAATATTTATTTATTTTTAAATAATTTTTTATTATAAAAAATTGAAATTACTTAAAAATATTTTAATTTAATATATTATATTTTCAAATTTTTACTTACTAAATTTATCGTGTTACTGTAATTAAATGGATGAACTACTATTGAAACAACCATTAATGATAACTCATATTGTCCCTCCAAAATAGGTTAAACAATTTCTTCTTATGTCTCAAAATTTCAATGCAATAATCTACCCAATCTTCAATTAATTTTGTGCACTTTAGAGAGGAAAATCCTTGGAAAGAATATTTAGGAAAAAGATACAAAAGTACTATTTTTGCATCTTACTTCAATAGTGTAGTTATGTATTTATATTTCTGGTACACAACTTCAATGTTTTGTAATTGAAGAGTATAGCTCTTAAATATGAAAATCAAATCGAAGGGTCCACCTTGTAAATTGAGTAGGTACCATAACATTAATTTTAAAACCAGTCACTTTTTTTCATTAAGTTTGATGCACAGATTCAGCAGAGAGTACAATCAACCAAAATCGAGATTCACAATATTTTCAGTAAAATCGTTTGAATCAATCATATCATAAGGCAGAAATGCAAAATAGATATTAGAATTTTTTTTAAAGAGAATTATTAATAAAAACTATTTAAAAATAAAAATAATATTTTATTATAAATATCTTCAGTGTAACTGTATCTATCTCATATGTTAGTTTTTTAGTTATAGATATTGAATAAATGTCCAATTGAATTGTTTGTTATTGAAGTAGAATGATAAAATCACAAGTGAAAGTAAAAATAAATAAATATAAAATAAAATTCTGTCCTTTGTATTAATCTTGTAGGGACACCAAACTTTTCAATTCGAGGCAGGTTATAGAGATTATGGAAGGGGAACCATGACTGTAGCAACCATGATTATAACTATAGAAAGTGACACTTTAGCTAGGGTCACCTCTCGGTCAGGAAGTGTCTATAGATGGTGAAAGATTGCACGCTCAAACTCTGGTCCACAAACTAGATTGTAGGCATTGAAAATGGACTTGCCCCAAACTTGACTTCTGTAATTGCAAGTGAAAATGGAACGATGAAAATAGTAAGTTTTGGGCATGGATTTGGGGGGTCTACTGCCAACAACAACGACCTCTTAATTCTCTTTAGGATTTTTTTTTTAGTAGTCATACATTTTTTTTTCTTTTACACAAGTTTTTTTAATTAATTATATCTTATCTTATTTATCTATTTATTTGTTTTAATATTGTAGTTTTTTTTCGGAGTTGAGTTTTTCTCTGGTGAAGTTTAGGACTTCTTATTCTCTTTGTAACATTATTTTCTGATTTGTTCTCTTTTCTATTTCTTCTGTCTGAGGCAGAATTCATATGAAAGTTTATAAAGAAGAAAATTTTTACCCCTTTCATTGTCTGAGGTAAGGAGGTAGTGATCCTTGAAAATAATTTTCTACAAAGGGAGGGAAAAACCTTTGCCTGATAAATTTTATGATTCTGCTCATGTATATTTTTTCATCCTATTACCTTGGTTGCAAGGTCAAGAAAATAAAAGCTCATCTTACTTCCAATTTTTTATTAAAAAAATGAGAGAAAAGTAATAACAACTATTAATAAACAAAGTTTGAAAATGAGTTAATAAAAGAAAATATGAGAAATTGATGATATGGATTTCTTTCTTATCTATTTAAAAATAAAATATATAATATAATCATAATAGATAAATAAATAGGTAATTTTATCAATATTTTAAAAGAATTTAAAAAGACAAATCAATGACTTTACACATTAATCAGATCTTCTAATTCGTTATTTTTATTAAAGAATTTTTTTAAGAAGTAATTACGATCTAAATAAATGTTCTAAGTTGTATCAATTTAAGGATTTTATTATTGTTAATAGACTTTATTGTTAGAAATAAGTCTGTGTCTAATAATTTTGAGTTGTAAAAGTGCATAACCGTGCAATACGTTGTTAGGAGTTTTAGTTTAATGGGGTTGATTTATATTATGTTAAAATGTATTTGACTAATATCAGTAGAAAATTTAACATTCATTTTTATCTCATCCATATTTTGTGTCATTTAGTTTATAAGTGGTATTAAAAGTTAAAAAAATATATTTTCAATTCCTTGCTTTTAGGAGTTGAAGATAATCTCTAACACAACTCATCAAGACATATTTGATTAACATCAATAATTTTTCTTAGATTCTCTTCTATCTTTTCCATATTCTCTAGGCATTCAAAGGACTCAAACTGTGACACTGGGCACAGTTTCTTATACTCAACTCTTTTGGGTTATTATTTGTATGTAGCAAAACCACAACATTTTCATATATTGGTCACCTATATGCTTGCTCAAAGACTAGGAAGTTATGTGAATATAGTCTACTAATATACAATCAGAGTGCACATTCGAGTATTGATCACAACCAATTGAGTCATGTACACCATTCAGCAGAGAGGGATACCAAGGGTAATCGCAATGTTTTTGCCAACATGTCAAAGTAAAACAAACAACTTACAATACCCTTCTCCAGTCACTAGCATTTTAATCTGAAAGGTATACAAGTTCGCTGAATATATTCTACTTCAGGAATCATAAATTACAAACATAGTAATCTTGTTAAATGGACATCTGTTGGTGTATTCTTTTTCCATGTCCATTCATTTTGATCTACAAAACTGATAATACAACTAATGAATTTAAAGATGCATATAATTCAGAGAAAACCAATCACTCATCACACAGACTATCATCCAAGAAAAACCTTGATTGGTTTTCCTCTAGTACTCTCAGCCGATAGACAAAAAGACAAGCAGTTTGATTTTTCTCTCTGTGATTCGGATGTGCTAAACAGCAGAAAAACTTTTACAGTCATCTTTATTTTCTTTCTTCTCCTATCAGATTACCAGATGAGAGCATGGTCTTTCTATTCACAATGACAATCTTTTCCTCCCACTAATTTCATAGTCTTGAACCTGCTAGTTTTGAGAAATTGGTGTTCCTTCTCTGTCACTATATGTAGCTTTTGACTTTATTAATCTTGACTGTCTTGATGAAGCAGATAGCGATTCAGAAGAAGAAACTGATTTCGTCTTTTTCTTCTTGGATTTCTTAGAAACATGAGAAACCCCTGCAGATTGGATGCCTTTGTAAATGTTAGATGATGATTGGCTTCCTATGGACTCTTCAAAATCTGTTCAAAGGGTTCAGGTAAGGAATGATTACCATAGGGAATAATATCAAGTAACATGCAGCCAAACACTAAATAAATGAATGACACCAGGTAACTGACAATATCTGATTTACATTCTACACCCATAAAGCAGTCAAGAATATATAAATGCGATGTGTCTATTGCTCACAATTCTCGCATAGAACTTGCAGAAAATATAATCAAATTTTAGAAACAATGGAAATACACAATTCTCACCTAGAACTAGGAGAAAATATAATCAAAATTCAGAAACAATGAAAATAATATAAATAGCATGTACAGCATAATTTCACATTAGCATATAAGATTATCATGAGTGGAATCAGCAATATGCAGTGACTACAGTCAAAGGTATCATGAAGAAAGAACATACAACTTCAAAAAAAGAATATCACCAAACACTATTGTATGGTTACACTAATTTCTCAACATACACCTTTCCAACAGAGAACATTACTGCCTCAATGTCAATTGATATTCTAATTAAGAGGAATTAGTGTATTCAAAATACACTAGACCTACCCTTGAACATAATATGATTTTTGAAATAGCATAGTATATCATATTTGACCTTGGGATTTAAAGGAGTTGCATACTTTATTTTAAATAAATAGTCATAGCTAATATTGTCCAACAGAAGAGCAGAACCCCAACAATGCACATCGAAATTCTTCTTAGCAAGACCCACAGTTGCCTCCAAATATACCACAATTTTCAAAATATACAGTTCCAATAAGTGTCCATCATATAAGTAATACAGTAGTAAAGGGTAACATCAGGAAAAGTAAGTTCCAGTTGGGGTGTTGTTACAATCTATGAAGCACAAATAAAGTACATGAAAAAGATGCAATGCAACATATATGCTACGGAAAATTTTCAAAATTATAGGACACAACACAACTATAATATGATATATGCATTCTGAAGTTAACATAACATACAAATTTTAAATCAAAATAGAGAATTTGTGCGCTAAACTGAACATAAGTCATTTATAAATCTCATAAGATATAAAAATTAATCAAATTAAAGTGTTATTCTAATCAGTATTGGTATACAAGTTTAAAAAACATAACAATGCAATAGAGTATTTTCATGCAATATCTGACATGGAAGCGTAGTGACACAGGTACAAGAGGACACAGGCGCTGTTTAAAAGTGTTTGTGCTTCTTAGGTTACAATTAGCTATAAATATATATTTGATATGAATGATAGCAACAAATTTCTGGAGATCATATTAGAAAGTCATGGTAACTAGTAATGTGTATAATGGTGGTTCCATTTTAATCACACTCTAGTAAGAACAAATCTTACGATCTTCAGAAACAGAACTATTCATACAATTTTGCAACTTCATTCAATTAGGTTGTTCAGTTCTTTTAAGGGTTTAACTTGATCACATTGAGGAACTTACCAACAAAACATGTTTTTATCAAGCACAGTGGTATAATATTAAATACTAAATTCAATACAATCACACCACTCAGATTAAGAAATTCTAGTGTGGACCACTTGAAACAGTGTTAATTGGAAAGACAAGAGTCATTAGATTCCCCACGTTGGAGCTGAGTTTGCTCGTGACAGAACAGCCAAACTCTTCCTATGGAGGCAAAGAATCTAGATAGCTTTTGCAAGCCTCACAATTTTATCTAGAAGATAATCAAGAGACACAATAATAATCAAATCCTCGTTGGCGTTTTTACTAGTTAACCCGTGAAGGGCCATCTATATGCATTTGTATTATTTAAATTAGGGACACAGTTCCACATGAATACAGTATCTCAATCTCAATATTTAATGGCATCGCATTTGGAAGCAAAAACGAACACTCGACTCAGATGAAATTTTGCTGTATGAGAGGTGAGAAGCAAAGCATACCTTGGGAGGACCATGATGCAGTGACAGCCATAGCATTGGGGTCACTTAGTTCACCCAAGTTACCAAGTGACGTTGAAAAATCAGGGGCTGTTTTAAAATCATTCATCTGCATAAAAAAAATAACAACAATATTAACAAACCAGTCAAAAACTATGATATGTGCAGATTTTAAAGATGATTATTATAAATATCAAACAATTTATCATGACAATGAGACATTGAATTAAGGTGCAAAAACTCTTTAAATGGTCACTTTTCGTATTACTTTCTCTAGTAATAATGACAAAAAAATGGAGAAAATGACAAAAGAAATTAAAAAATTGGATCTTTTATAGTTGAAACATAAATGGAGAGGTAAAGTGGACATCAGCTCCGTACCCAACTGGGTCCAGTTCCTGAAGGGCCATCCCATCCAATGTGAGCCACATGCTTAACATCTGTCGGGTACCCAATTTCCATCTCCCGCTCCTTCACAACTGGAACAGTACCCACTTCCCAGCTTAGCCACACAGCAACAAAACCCAGAAAAGCAAAATTGCATTAAAAGGTGCATAAAACATTACCAAATATTTGGGTGATGTATTTGAAACTCTTGTAGATTCCCTTTAATTTGGTTGCCATGGTGGAGATCACGACCACAACAAAATTGGAAGTAGAGACCAAAATTTTCTGACCTGGAAATGCTTTTGCCTGTCACAAAATGGAGTGTTCATATATACAAATGTTTCCAAAAACGGTGTGGAGTATCAGCAAAGGTTTAATTGCATGTGATTTAGAACCTTTTTTTTCCTAGGAATGAAGGATGGCATCTGAATATTGAACACAAGAAAGATGCTATTGCTCATTAATGCAAAAAATGAAAACTTCGCTTCCAAATGGTTTTAGTAGAAAGATTTTAAGGGAAAAGAAAAATAAAAATTAAACGAATACAGTACCCAAAGTTGATTTTGATGCAGGTGCTGATAGGAATCCAACTATGTTGTCTGTGCTCCATTCACCATCATTCTGAAACTCGTGTGGAGAGTGCTGACACATGCAAAGATCAAATAGAGCGAAGAAAAAGTCTTATGGGTCTTAAAAAGTTGAGATTTTTATTGGTGGGATATAGAATGCAGGCTGAACTCAGTGAAAGGGAAGAAGAGAATGGTGAGAAAGAGAAGGGGGCTGCCTCTAGGATGAGAAGAACAGGAGGTGGGCATCCATGAATGAAAATTTGAAAACTAGAATGGGAAGAAAGAGAGAGAGAGAGAGAGGGAGAGAGACTTGGTTTAAGGTGAAAAAATAAATTAGGACAAAGATTCGAAAATGGAAGGTAATTTAATAATACGGTTTAATAGAATTGTTTATTCAGGAGTGTCCATTATGGTATGTCAGTATATTGTTTCTATGCTGGGTTGATGGGTTGAGGGTGGATATGGTAAAGATTGATCCCTTCTATTTAAAATCATCAACATGGAAGATCAATTCCTCAGATATGAGTTGTAACCCTCACTAACTCATTTTTCTTTCCTATTCCGCTTAGCAATCAGATTTTATTATATGGGAAATTCTATCTTAACTCAGAATGAATCATGTTATGATAAATAACTAATTTAGTTATATAGTAATCATCTCATAGTAATTAATAGAAAGTGAATAATTTAACATCATACATTGCTAATTAACTTTAGTATCAATTTTTGTCTCTCTTTTAGGTTTTATGAAAAAACCAATTTGTTTTTAAACTTGGATATAAACAAAAATAATTCATGTTAATTAAAAAAATTAGTTCATATAGTTTAATTTCATCAATCCCATTTAAGAATATGTTTTCTAAATTTTTTCCTTTAACAAATTTTGGCATATCCTTAAAGTTGTTTCTTTTATTGGAGGATTTTTTAGATAGGCAATAGCTATTGCGTAACCTTTTAGGCTTTAATTATATTTATCGCTTATTTATAGCAATGCGTTAAAATTAACTTTTTGGTATTGTTGTCATAATTTTTTAAAATTACAGTTGTTTTTAAATAAATTATTTTAAAGATATATCATAAACTATGTTGCTTATTTTATTCGAGGATTTATTATATATGTAATAAATATCATTTAACCCTTTTGGCATTTTTTTTAACAGACATTAATTATATTTATTAAAATGTGTATAACTACACTATCATTTAACTACACCATATACACTAGGTTTATTTATAATAATCAAACGATTTTTTATTCAGTAGACTTTAAAAAATATTTTTTTAAAAAAATCATAGATTGTGTTGTTTTTTTTTATGGGAAAAATTATTGAATTCGTAAAAAAACACAATTTTTTTTTCTGCGCAAATTCTTGGATTGGTAATACTTATAGTGTAATATTTTAGGCATCATATTATCAATTAATATTAATATATATAGAGAGAGAAAAAAAAACTCACACTTTATTTATAATGCATTAAAATAAAACTTCCTTTTTAATATTAAAAAAAATCATGAACTACGCTGTTTCTTTTATTGGAGAAATTTGATTTAAATAGGCAATACTTAATTCATAATGGTTTAGACTTTATATTAAAGATTTAAAAATAATCTTAGTTTATAAGTTCTCATACTTTTAGTTCTTATAAAATATTTATTAACTTTAAATTTCTATCTAACCGATTTTTTAATATCTATAATTAAATTAACTATGTTAAAAAAATAAAAATATTAATATAATTAAGGTAACAAATAATATTTTAAATTAAGATATTTTTTTCAATCTATTAATTTTGGAGGTTCATAAATAAACTTGCAGTGTTAAAGGAAGAAGCCGTCCATGCTATTTATAAGTTACAAATATAATGGTGTACCATTACCATGCCAGCATTAAACCAGAAAAGCATTATAGTTTCCATGGAAAAGAAAAGAAAAGAAAATAGTTGGGAAAATGAAATTATTTGTGCCCTCTTGTGAAGGTTGCACTGATTTTGCTGTATGAATGTTGACATGTTTGGTGCATATGTCACTGTTGGTACAGTTTTCATTTGAAATGAGAAGAAAAAGAACAAAAAAAACCTCTCAATCTGCTACGTAGCAAAGGAAGTAGACACTTCTTCTGCTCAAACTCCGTTGCTTAGTTGGCATATCTCAGAATGCGTTGGAGGCACGTTCCAGAGACTTTATATCTTTCTTCATTCCCAAACAAAATATTCTTGTGGATCTAAGCCAAATTTTATCTTTTTCTTTCCCCATCAACTCCTACAATAGAAAGATAAAAAAAAATATATTATTCTTGCTTCTAAACAACTAACATTTTTGTACACCATTTTCTTAATGACTATAATTAGAGATTTTGATAAGCAGTGGAACTGATTTCATAAGCAGTGGAAGCAGCTTCTTCTGTGTGTTGAGGAGATAAATTTATTAGCGTTGACCAAAACTTTGTACTTCAAACATTTTTAAAACGTGAAATCTTAGGAAGCACTTTTAAATTCTACTGACAATAGTTATTTCTGTTGATTTTTTTATATAAATGTCATAATATTCTTAATATCAATTATACCACAAATTTCTATAAATACGTATATCATTCCTAACACGGTAACACCTAGGACCTGCTCCACTATTGTTTATCAGCGAATTATAATTTAAATAACATAGTAAGCCACACACGAGAACATAACATATAATTAGTGAGAATTTCAATTTTTAGAACTATAATAATTAATAAATATAAGATTTACTTCTTATTTATTTTAAATATAATAACTTAGTATAATAACTCATCATTATAAAAAAAAACCCTACATATTCGGATATTTATTTTATATAATATAATATACATGTATTATTGTTCAAATATGAAATATTTTAATAATATATTTGTATAAATTAAGAAAACAGAAAGAAAATTAGTTCTTAATAAATATTATTTTTTTGTGAAAAATATTATTTTTGGGATATAAAAAATTGTAAACTTGCTCGTCCCCATGATCTGGCCTCTTGTGAGTAGAAGTTCCATAACCATCTTCCTTGCAGAGCAATGTTTAAATGCAAAGTCCAAAAGGCCTTTCACAGAGAACCAACACTAACCACCTGGGCCTCATTTCTCTAGGAACCACATGGTTTGGGCTTTAGTAGCAGAGTAATTGACACTTTGAGATATTTTTTTTATCTAGTATTTCAAGTATATATAATCACTATATTTATTTAATAAAAAATATCTTAAACTATTTTTTTATATACAATATTTTATTATTTTTAAAAAATTAATGTTTTTAAACATTTATTTCAATTTATTTAACCATCTGTGAGTGTATTTCTGTTTTTAATAAAATGAATGCAGGTTAAATCTTGTTACAATAAAAGGAAAAAATTGTCATAATCATTAATTTCAAAGAAGTTGTAAGTTTTAATTTATATTCACTTCTTTGAAACAAGTGTTTTTTATTGTTAAAGAAATGAAAATGTCCCGGATTAGATGATAATTGAACGTGGAAAGGAGACTTTGTTAGAATTAATTCATTTTATTATTTAATTTATGTGAAATGTAATGATGAAGATTTAATAAAATATAACAATCTATTAATTGTTATAAAAAGTAAAAATAAAATAAAAATAAAATAAAATAAAAAATAAAATGTAATGATCGACCTAAATATGATTTAATAAAATATAAAGATTTATTGGTTGTTATAAAAAGTCAAAATAAAACAAAGATAAAATAAAATAAAAATTTACGATAATCAATTTAATAGACATTAATTAATAAAAGGGATTAAGATTACTGTCTCTAGTCATAAAGATCTTGTCACAGAAAACCATCAAGAAAACATGAAAAGAGAAAGAAATGTAAAAAAATAGATTAAGAAAAAGAGATTAAAAAAAAAAGATTAAATAACATATTCTCATTATTAGAGACAAAACCCTAATCATTTTTATTAACTAAATTAAGTTGATTACCGTAAATTTTTATTTTATTTTAATTTCCTATTATAAATTATATTTTATTAAAAAGGTTCATCCTTATATTTCATATAAGAATGAATTAATTCCATCATACTCATCTTTATTGTTTGGTACTCACGGTAACTCCATCGAATAAAATAGTATCCACGTACAATAACTCTTGATGCATCAAATTCCAATCCTACAAAATATCAATGTTCTTCCCTCGCAACATTTCTCCTTCACCATCCCCATAAATTGCTTCCTCGATACTTTTTCCTTTGTCTTCATGGGAGAACAAAACAGCTCCTCCTTCGTCAACTTAATCCTTACCACAGAAGAAGAATAGTTTCAATGTAGTGAAGAGGAACACAGGTTGTTTCTTCTTGGGCTTGAAAATTGTGGAAAAGAAAACGAAAAAAACATTTCGAAAACACGAGAACTCCATCTCAGATAGCTAGTCACGCCCAAATATATTTTATTCATTCCGCCTCGAGCAATATACGTTGTCTCCTTTTCACATACAATTATCATCCGCATTTTCATTCTTACATAGACACTTGACCTCATTCCCCTCCCCTACAACTATCGTCCACATTTTCGTTTTTACATAAACACTTGACCAAATTCAATATTAATCGGGCTTCTTTGATTTGATAACAATATTCCGCAACTTCCCTTCTAATCCTTACTTGTTGATTAGCTAGAAATTATACTCAAGCACTAGTCAAAATTAATAATAATTTATTAAAACATTTTTTACAAGCAAAATCATATCTTATACATTGACCTTAATATTATTATACCAAATTTGAAGATGTATAATCACTTTTGTGACTACAACTTATAAACATTTTTGTGACTGAAACTTATTTCCGTGTTATCCAACTAAGTTTAATATTCTGATATATTTATAACTATCTCTTAAAAATAATTTATATATATTATTTTTATTAATTCATTAAAATATTTTTAAGAATAAAATAAATAAAATTTTAAATATGATAATTAATTCTAATAATATTATCTTAAAAGCCATAAAATCGTTGTTCCTATAAATTTTTTAATTTAAATTAAATGGCATCTCACATTTGTTTTTGATGGTATTGCTTGTAATAACTTCGGTCGTGCACTGTGTCTGTATTTAGTTCAAATCATGAACTACCTTCGACAAGTGATACATGAAATTAAATTCGTCAAAAAAAAATAGTGGTAAGACACTTTTATGAAGACTAAAACAAATCAAGCTCTCATAAATTTGATATTCTTTCTACTAATTAAGTTTTTATTTAATAAGAAAATGTTTACATGAGTCATCTGGTTTCAGTGGTTTATTCGACTTTAAAATCTATTTTCTCTAAAACATGATAATTGATTACTGTATGCGGTAATGGATTTCAAATCATGTTTCAATAAAACACATAATCAATTGTATCCACAAAGATTTATTGAAAAATATACAATTCGAGATCTAAAGCGGGTAGGATTCCTTGTTGTTTCCCAGTACATGATAATATATTGATGTTCCATCACACTCCACCCAAATTGAGGGAATGAAAAATGGTCGTATATAATAAAATATAATGACTCTCTATCAACTATTTTTTAATGAACAACATCCTAATTTATAAAATGCAAACAATAGTCTCCTCACTTTCCTCCTCCACTCCATATCCTATCATCAATCCAAATATAGCCTTAGGATCCCACGTAATTTAACCCATTATAGTCAAATGCACAGCGTAATATAACACACACGTTAAAAGGAAAGTGTAATCAGCAACCGTAAATCAGGTCGACATGAAAAACCTCAAAAACTTTAAGTAATATGACAAACAAGTACAAGAACTTTACACCTTACACTAACATCACTCATCAGGTTGACCGTTCAACAAAAGAAGGTTTAACATCTAACAACTTACTTTTGCTGACTGGTTTGTGATTGATATATGGATTTGTAACAGCAACAAATTCCAATTCAATATATAATATCTTACCTATCTATTCTCATGGATTTTAAATCCTGATCGAGAGGTGTAGGTACAGTACATGGATATTCCATAGATCTAACTTACCATCAAAATGAAGACAGACACACTTTCTTTCCCTCATAGCCAATAAGCAAGACAGACTCAAGTGTAAAGAGAAATTAGATAATTAAACCCATTGGCTAAAGTCTGAATACCAAAAATTAGACTTCCAAGACGCAGTGTAGCAGAGAAATGATGATAAAATTGCATTTGACACCAACCACAACCAGACTCCCGAAAATTCACAAGATAATGCTATGCAATGGACAATTAAATAGTAATCGAATTTTCAAATTGAAAAAAAGGTAAAAACAAAAATACCTACTCGTCCAATACAACGTGTTATCATAAAGGATGGAAGCATGACCATGGAAATATATTGCAAATGTTTCTGGAACGCTACCATATTTAACTCGTGCATTAGGAATATCTCAATAAAAAAATTAAAAATAAACTATAAATTTCACTATGAACATGGGAATGATACTGACAAAAACCTTATCTAGTAATAAAATATCTTATCAAGTAAAACAATTCAAAAGCATGATACTACTAACAATAAAAAAAATGCTATAACCAAGGTGTGATCATACTTCTATATAAACTTCTAGTTCTATCAATTCTTTACCAGAGAAAACAGAATTAGGCTCTCTAAAGTGCAATGTGTAGGTTCTAAACGAAAGTCCCGAGTGGATCAAATTTTGAGTAAGTTAAGCAACTTGATAGGAATCTATGGATTGCACTTCAGAGTTCAGACCAATCATATCCTAGATATCAATCACTCTATCAGTCATGAATATGCAGCACGAAAGCATAAGTCTACATATTCAACTTGAAGACCATTCAAAGAAATGGTTCAACACAAGGCTAATTTAACAATCAATATAGCAGTAGCAATTTAGAACAACACAATTCGCTATTATGCAATCACCACCAATAATCATAACATATCCAGAGAAATGTAGTACCCAGATAATAAAAATTTTCTAACACTCAAAGACAAGTTATATAGTATGAAATCCGGCATAGTTCTAGAATAAAAAGACATTTTGCTAATGTTTAGATTTCAAAATGGGAATCAGACCCAGAAGTATGACCAAACCTCAATTCCAGCTAGAGGGCCAAAACCCATGAATCCCGTAACCCGTCTTCCAGTTATCCAAGTAAACAACCTGCTTCACAGCCAAAAACGAAACTAAGAGCGCGAAAATCATAACCACCCGCTGCACGCTCACGTTCCTAATCTTGACTAGCCCGTGGGTCATAAACGCCAAGAGAAGGCCCACAACAGTGTAAAGAAACCCCACGGCAAAACCCTCTGCACCAAGCTGCATCCCAGAACCCTGGTAGAAAAACACGAGTTTGGAAGGATCGTTGCGGTCCACGAGAAACATAGGCATCTTGCGAATGATGTTATGCATGGCACCGGAAACGCTGAAGAAGTAAACGAAGACGGAACCGGCCAACCAGACCTTAGGATCGTGAAGAAGGGTCTGTCCCGCGAGAACCTTCTTGATGAAAAATGGGATCCAGACGAGGATGACGACGGCGATGAGGATCAACTGGTTGCGGGAGAAGATGGGTGGACGGTGGATGGGGCCCACGGAGAGTTTGGTCTTGGCCTCGACGAACTCGGCCATGGAATCAGCGAGTCGGGAGAAGTCGCCCTGATCCATGGGCTCGGACTCCTGGAGGCCCATGTTGGGCCCAATTAGGCGAATGTGAGGGAGGGCGTTGACGCCGAATTGGGAGAAGCTGAGCTGGGACTCTTTGAACTCGATATCGCAGAAGAAGAGTTTGGAATTAGACGATGGGTTGTTGGTGATGAAAGAGGACGCGACGATGGAAAATTCGTTGCGGAGTTCGGTGAGGCGGAGCTCCGGCTTCTCGTGGAGCTGCGCGGCGTCGAAGAAGAGGAGGATGGAATAGGGTCGCGGGGTTTTGACGGCGGTGAGGAATCTGGCGAGGGATTGGTCGTTGAGGTGGATTATGCCCGATTTGGATCTGGATTGAAGGGAGAGCAATTCGCTCACTCTTTCGTCGTCGGAGGCCGTCGCTGAGGAGATGGCCACCGTGAGTATCAGCAATAGGAGCTTCGGGAAGGGAGACATTGTCGAATGAATGGGATTGGAACAGAGGGTTTGGAAGTCTCCGGGGTCGCGGGCACAACAAGAGAGGACTTTCAGTCTTTCACAATCTTAATCACTCTCCAGAAATACCCAAATTCCACCCGAAAAACAATTCGCTCATAATTATAATTTAATAAAATTTAAATTTCCCCTCTCTCTGTCTAAACTTTTTTGTTTTTAACAATGATGTGAATTATTGGTTTTAATGAAATCATGTTTTATTTTATGAATTTTAATACAAATTATATGTTTTAATATATCAATTATAGAAAAAAAATTAAAATAAAATCACTTTTGAACTTTCTAACTTTGATTTAAAAATGTTATTATTTTGGTGAAATAGCAAAGAGTTTGATTTTGTTTTGTTGATGACTTTAATTTGAAATTTATAAATGAAGTAAGTGAGATTAACTCCTTCAAATAAGTTTACGTGACTTTACTTGATTTGACTTATATTAATTAAATTTTATTTTATTTTCAAATATTAAATATATAAAATAAAAAAGGCTGTTATAAATGTTAAAAATACATAAATCAACAAAATCTAAAGAGTGATTAATAAAATTTATTTAAAATATTATTTAAAAAGTGTTAGGTATTTAAAAGGATGTAAGAGTGAATTATTGTAATGATATTTTGGGTTACCACTAATAATTAATATATAAACTTAAATGACAAATACTAATTAAAAAAAAATCACTAGTATGATCCTGTGTTTTTACAACTTCAACTTAACTATAATATGAATATCTTTCTTGCAGAGTTAATTATTTTTATTTTATGTTGACATAAATAAAATTAATATAACTTAATTATCAAAGACAAAGATGATATAAATAACATATTTTTATTCACGACCCTTTTTCTACGTGGCATCAAATCATAAAGATTCTATTCTCTATTTAAATTTATAAATGTTATAACTTGCGTTTGTTTTGTAATTTTAATAAAGATAATATATTATTTAAAAAATGAAAAAAGTGTAAATAAATTTTAAAATGTCACATCAATAAGTTAGATTCAGGAAATAGAGATTCACGAAATAGAGATGAAGTCGAATTTAATATAAAAAATATATAAAAAAAAATCTAAATTGGAGGTGATTGAATTAATTTAGGTAAATATGGATTCTTAAATTATCCATACTCGTTAATACCTATTAAAAAACAATTTGATATTATATAGAATTTTGTCCCTCATTTATTAAAATATATTAACTTTTGATATACTGTTCAAGAAAATTAATATAGGTATTTTTACTCTCATGTTTATAAAAACAAAGATGATATATAACATATTCATGTATAAAATATAAACAATAATTTAGATTTAAAAGCTCAAAATCTCATTTTATTTTAGAAAACTAAAAGTACTTGTTCTTATTTAAAATATCTTCTCTTGTCTTGTTTTAGCATTAGTTTAGAACAATAGAAGCAGGGAATTTCAGCAAAGAATGGAAGATTAAAAAAAATGGAAAAAAAAAATCCATGAAAGTAACGGGATGTGAATATTATTTCTGTAATCAACACTTGGACAAAACGAGAGAAAATTGCAGTTGTAAAACTAATACTTCAATTAATCTTGATTTTGTTCAAACTGGCCCAATACTCAGGCTCACTTCTCACTTCTGCTAAAGGATAATAATACCCACGTATTCGCACACGCACTAAAAACAATACGAGAAAGAGGGAGAAATTCTTGAAAGAACACAGTGACCACGGAAACTCCAGTTCACTTTAGGGTTCCACCGTCCACCGTTGCAGCTCCACCAGCTTCACCAGATAAGCTCCTCCTCTGACTTCTTCTCTCTATATACTTCACACGTGTATAAACACACACAATAATATGCAGGATAACGTGTTTAATTTGTGTATATATGTGATAAACTGAAAAATATATTGTTGTATTTATTCTGAGTTATGGGTACTCTTATATAGGAGAATACACCATTAACAGTTGGTTACAAACTAAAACCTGACAGTTAAACCAAAAGCTGGAATTAAATTCTAACATCCCCCCTTAATTCCAGTATCAATACTCAAAATCCCTAGTTTTTCTCTGATTATCTTGAACTTCTCCTTCTTCAAAGGTTTGGTTAGGATATCAGCTAGCTGGAGTTGTGTAGGACAGTAAACCAGTTTCAACTTTCCATTTTTAACTTGATCTCGTATGTAATGGAAGCGAGTCTCAATGTGCTTGCTTCTGCCATGTGAAACCGGATTATTTGCAAGATTTATAGCTGACTTGTTATCAACAAGTAGCTCAATAGGTTGTTCCAATTCGACTCCTATCTCTGTCATCACTGAGTTTAACCATATAGTTTGACAAGCTGCACTTGATCCCGCTATATATTCAGCTTCACATGTAGATAGAGCCACCACAGATTGCTTCTTGCTCCACTAAGAAATTGGTGCTCCCATAAACATAAACACACAACCTGTAGTACTTCTTCTATCCACACTATCTCCACACCAGTCTGCATCAGAATAACCAACCAACTTTGTTTGTATTTCTTTAGATTTTGGAAATAATACTCCAAAATCTAATGTTCCCTTTACATATCTCATGACCCTTTTGGCTGCTAGCATATGTTTCTGCTTAGGTTGTTGCATGAATCTACTTAGGATGCCTACTGCAAAGTAGATATCTGGCCTACTGTTGCAGAGGTACCTAAGAGACCCAACCACCTGTTTGTACAGAGTACCATCCACCTCACTTTCTCCATCTTCAGTTACTATAACTTTTCCTTCAGCTGGTGTTACTGCTATGTTACAGTCCATCATTTCATACTTTGCTGGGATCTCCGCAGCATACTTCCTCTGATGTAGAATCAATCCTCTCTCAGTCTCCACAAACTCCATGCCTAGGAAGTATTTTAGTCTTCCTAAATTAGTCATTTCAAATTCTGTCATTAACAACTTCTTAAATTCTTCTATCTTGTCAATATTGCTTCCTGTAATGAGCAAGTCATCCACATATATACACATTAAGACTAGATCAGTCCCTCTGCCATACTTCACATATACTCCATGTTCCACTGAACATTTCTTAAACTCTTGGCTTAACATAAAAGCATCTATCCTTCTGTTCCAGGCCCTGGGTGCCTGTTTAAGGCCATAGAGAGCCTTCCTCAGCGGATATACCTTATGCTCAACACCTTTCTTCACAAATCCAGGAGGTTGTGTAACATAAACCTCTTCTTCAAGCGGGCCATTTAGGAATGCAGATTTGACATCCATTTGAAATAAAAGCCACTTTTTACTATTCGCCAAGGCTACTACCATCCTTATTGTCTCAATTCTGGCCACAGGAGCAAATACTTCTGTGTAGTCTAGCCCTTTCTTTTGTAAAAATCCTCTCACAACTAGCCTTGCCTTCCTTTTGTTAATACTGCCATTTGGATTCACCTTTAGTTTGAAAACCCATTTCAGATCAATGGGTTTTTTGTTACTAGGTAAGTCAGTCAGTTCCCAGGTGTTTGTCCTCTCAATGGAGTTTAATTCTTTAACATGGCTTTCTTCCATAATTCTTGTTTCATGGCTTCATCATGATATAATGGTTCAGCTTCTGCCATTAGTGCAAAATGCACCAAGTCTCCCTCACTTGTCACAGCATCATCTGGATATACTTCAAAATCCACCAGAGTTCGTGGTGGTCTTCTCTGCCTTACAACTCTTTGAGACTGGGGTTCTATCATATTTTCTCCTAATGTATCAACTTCTTCCTCTTCTTCAAAGAACCCTCTAGCTTGCTTGCCTTCCCTTTGTCTTTCATTCCAATCCCAGGATTCTTCTTCACTTACCACAACATCCCTGCTGATACAAATCTGTTTGGAAACAAGATTGTATAGCCTATAAGCTCCTGTGGAGTGATAACCCACAAAAATCATAGCCTCACTTTTATCTGCCAATTTTGTCCTTTTAACATCTGGCACATGTTTGTAGCATTTTGAGCCAAATATCTTCAAATGCTTAACCCCTGGCCTATTACCACACCAAACCTCCTCTGGAACTTTATCTTCCAGCTTTTGTGTAGGACACTTGTTTAACAAATAGACAGCTGTTGAGACAGCTTCCCCCCATAGTGAATGAGACAACTGTTTTTGTTTTTTCATACTCCTAGCCATGTTAAGTATCATTCTATTCCTTCTTTCTGTCAACCCATTATGTTGTGGAGTATATGGTGCTATGACTTCATGTTGCACACCATTCTCTCTGCAGTAATCTTCAAAGTCATTTGACAAATATTCCTTTCCTCCATCTGTTCTCAAGATCTAAATCATCTTCCCACTTTGGTTTTCTGTCATCATTTTAAATTTCTTGAAAACAGAGAACACCTCTGATCTGACTTTGATCAAATACAACCAAATCATTCGGCTGTACTCATCAACAAATGTGACAAAATATTTATTTTGTCCAAGTGATAACTCCTCAAATGGTCCGCATACATCAGAATAAACTACCTGCAATACCTCCTTTGCCCTCATGTGCATATGTGTTTTGAAGGCATTTCTGGGTTGTTTTCCCACCAAACACCCTTCGCACACCTTTCCTGGTATAGTTAATGTCTCAGGCAGTCCAGTCACCATCCCTTTATCAGCCAACTTCTTCAAACTGGTAAAATTTAAGTGCCCATACCTCCTATGCCATAACCAACTCACTTCCTCTGTCGTAGTTGCTGTTAAACATTGATTTTTTGTAAAAAAAAAACCTTGTCTAAAATGTCCTGTTCTTTGCCAAAGGAGATTTCAGTACAAGCCTTTTCTTAGCATCATAAACTCTCAACATTTCCTCCTTCATTGACACTGAAAAACCTTTCTGCACCAGCTGTCCTAAGCTCAACAGATTGCATTTCATTCCTGGCACATATAACACATCTTCTATTACTATGACTTCTTTGCCATCTTTCTTAATTACCACATTCCCAACTCCTTCAGCCTTTATGACATTGTCATCTGCTAGCTTTATCTTGCTGGATCTGCTGGTATCTATGCTGGACATCCATTCTTTGTGCCCAGTCATATGGTTGGAACATCCAGTGTCAAGAAACCAAGTTTCAACACCAAATTCTTCTTTACTGGTCGTTACCATAAGCACCACAGGCTCCTCCTCTGAATCATCTTGTGCTACTTTTGCCTCTGTATCAACTGGGCCCTTTTCTGTCTTCCTTTTCCATGCCAGCAGTCTGCTGCATAATGACCCCATTTCTCACAATTGTAACACTGAATTTTCCGCATATCAACACTCTTCTTTCCTCCTTTGTCTCTCCAAGACCTACGTCCTCCTTGAGCCTTCTGATCTGTTTTCTCTCTAGAACCAGAATCTTGAGACAAAGAATTTCTTTCTTTGTTAAATTTGCCTCCTCCTCTATTCTTCTTCCAGTTTCCTCTGTCAGAACCATAACTTTTCTTGCTGATCTGGGCTTTCAAGGCCTGCTCATCCTCTGCCTTCTCAGATTTTCGCGTTGTGCGCTTCAACTCGTGTGCTTCTAACGTACTCTGTAATTCCTCCAGTGACAGGACCTTCATATTCCTGCCAGACTCTTCTATTGCCACTACTATATTATCAAAAAGTTATGTCAGTGTACGCAGAACCTTTTCTACTGTACTCAATTCAGTCATGGTTTCTCCACAACTTTTAATCTGATTGACGAGCAACTGCAGCCTATTGAAATAGTCTGCTACACTTTCGGTTTCCTGCATTGAAAGTAACTCATATTGTCTTCTTAAAGACTGCAACCTGACCTTCTTGATTTTTTCTGCACCACCATGAGCCCTCCGCAGTATTTCCCAGCATTCTTTTGCTGTCTTGGCCTTGGCTATCTTCTCAAAATTCACAGAATCCACACACAGATGCAACAGACACCGAGCCTTGCAATCTCTCTTCTTGTTTGCGGCTTCGTCCTTCTCCTTTGCACCTTCTGTTACTACTTCCCATAGTTCTTGATAACCAAGAATAGCCTCCATCCTTATGACCCAATAATTCTTTCCATCAAGAGATGGCAAATTAGAAAAAAAATTCCCACTGCCATTTCCATTTCCAGCCATACTGCAAATGTCCCTGGTTTGTAATCTGCTCTTGATACCACTGTTCAAACTGGCCCAATACTCAAGCCCACTTCTCACTTCTGCTAAAGGATAATAATACCCACGTATTCGCACACGCACCAAAAACAATACGAGAAAGAGGGAGAAAGTTCTCGAAAGAACACAGTGACCACAGAAACTCTAGTTCACTCTAGGGTTCCACCGTCCACCGTTGCAGCTCCACCAGATAAGCTCCTCCTCTGACTTCTTCTCTCTATATACTCTCTGACTTCTTCTCTCTATATACTTCACACGTGTATAAACACACACAATAATATGCAGGATAACGTGTTTAATTTGTGTATATATGTGATAAATTGAAAAATATATTATTGTATTTATTCTGAGTTATGAGTACTCTTATATAGGAGAATACACCATTAACACTTGGTTACCAACTAAAACCTAATCGTTAAACCAAAAGCTGGAATTAAATTCTAACAGATTTTAACCCTTTTTTTTTTAAATGATTGTGCCATTACATATATATTATTTGTATACACTCAAATGATTGTTTATCATTTTATAAAACCAAGTGGGGTTAATTTGTCAATCCACACGTAGACCTGAACAACAAATATTGTCTCCTTATCCTTCATCATTCACATTTTTCTTTATTTATTCCAAAATTCACATGATAAGTTGCAGAAACATTTGTTTATGTAGTTTAAGCATCAACAATCTCTCCAGTGTCCGCAGAAGCAAAAATAAGTTCTGGTTCTTCTCTTCCAACTCCACATGTTCCATCGATGGCATTGTTCCTCCCCAACGCCTTCAACGCCAAATGAGCTGCTTTTTGTCCTGATATCATCATCGCTCCAAACGTAGGACCCTGCACCAAATATAACCAACAAAACCCTCACCATCTCTATCCAAATCAAACATATACATATACAACTCTATTTCACAAGCTATCATCAAGAGTTTTTAGTGTGTATAAAAACAAAATTATAAGGCTAACATACCATTCTTGGGGCACCATCAATTTCTGCAACTTCCATGCCAGTGACAATCATGCCAGGCACAATCTCCCTAGTGAGTCTCACAATAGCGTCTTCAGCAGTGTTCATATCCAGGGCCTTCATTCCAGGGACGCTATCAATCATCCCAATACTCTTCAACCTCTTAACCCCAGTGGCGCCAAAGGGTCCATCATGCCCGCAAGAACTCACTACAACCTTAGCCTCCATCACGTTGGGGTCCATGCAGGACTGGGTGTCGTGGTTCATCGAAACCAGCGCCCAGTTCGTGACAACCCCCGCGACCCTTCCTTCCTTCACGATCAAATCCTCCGCCGCCACGGCGTTGAAGAGCTTCACGTTGGGCCGCGCCAGGAGCTTGCTCATGATGGTGGAGGTGAACAGCGCCGCGTGCTTGATCACAACGTAGTTCTCCTGCTCATCGTAGGCCACACCGATCTCATCCAGGAAGAGGTGAGCGGGCTTGCGCACCACCATGGCGGAGAAGAGCTGCCCGCCGAGCCACGCGCCGCCTCCGGGGCTCACCGACTGCTCGATAATGGCCACGCGCACGGCCGGGTTCTTGCTCAGCTCGTATGCGCAGGAGAGGCCGGCAGAGCCCGCCCCCACTACCACGACATCGGTGTCGGCGTAGGTTATCATGTCGGTCATGTAGCGGCGCGTCATTTCACGTGAGACGATGGATTCTTTGATGGGTTGGAACTTAAGAGATTGAAAGTCGTAAGGGGGAGGGGTTAGGGACATGGAAATTGTGGTTTGTTTAGTGGAGGATCTTGTGGGTGTGAGGCGAGAATGAGAAACGGGCTTCCCGTGGAAGGAGGTTGGCTTGTGGTCGAAGAATGAGAGTTTGGGGTTTGAAGTTAGGGTTGTGGTTGCCATGGCTGCCATCAGAATTAGATGGATATTATGTGTTCTTGGAAGGGAGAGCAAGGTGAGTATAGAAAAGTTGAGGACTTGATATTTGTCAGTGCCGTGGAGAGGGTTTTATAAAGAAGACGAAGGGTGATGGGGTTGGCCATGAGTGAAATATCTGACTAAAAAATCTAGAAACTGTATGCTTTTTGTGGGAGGAGATAGAATTTTAGCGGCTCTGGAGGGTTCCATTTGTGATATTTTCCCGTAAAGTGATTGATATGTTTTCCCCATAAAAATCCATGGTTCATCGTTACGAACCAGTTGCATCAGTCGTCTCTGCTGGTTCATCAACACTCTAAAATCACTTAAAAAACCATTTTTAAGGCTTAATTTGATTGAGAAATTATACTGTACTGAAATTCATTGTTTAATAAAAAGTTATATCAAGATTAAACTTACACGGTACCAATCCACTTTGCCCGATCATTTCCAGAAGAGTTTTCTCTTCTCACTCATGGATTTCCCTCCTAGCATATGCCTTTGTGATATTTCCTAGAAATTATTATTAGGTCACTCATTGTTTGGTTGGCCTTTGTTCCTTCACTCGTCAATTTGTAACAAGTGGTTCTCTTTTTATGTTTCTTACAAACAATGAAATTTGTGGACTTAAATGTTACAATGGTATTGCCATGTATACATCATACAACATTTTCATTCAGTGACAGTTAATAATTTGATTTCTCTCCACAGGTATCAATTTTATTCAACCGAAATTAATCAGCTAATATATAATAGTTGACTGTGTGTTTAAATTTCATAAGAATTGTCTTTATATATTATTAGTACCAATTGATAATATCTTAATAATTAAAAAAAAAACAGCCGTTAAAATACAAACACTAATTCAGCACTCATTATTTTTTAGTTCACTTTTCCTTTTATTAAGTATTTACCCATAAAAAAATTACAAATCACATCATTAGATAACTTTTTGTGTGATTTTACTGTTTGAGTATATGTATTAGTACTTGAAAATTTTTAATTAAAAATAAAATCAAGTCACTACCATAAAAATTGAAATGAACCCAACCACACATTACTGTCAGTTCACCAATTTGCCCAATGTTGGGCTCATAAAATTGGGCTGAGAGGCAATGGAATATGGAATTTGAAAAATAAAATGCGCTGAGAGACAATGAACTATGGAATTAAAAAAAAAAAGGATGAGAGACAATTAAATACGGAAATAAAAAAAATGAAAACATTTTAAAAAAATAGAAAAATGGGCTGAGAGATAATTAAATATGAAAATTAAAAAGACAAAGAGAGACAATTAAATATGAAAATTAAAAGGAAAAAACAAAAACATGACAGCTGTGGGATTTGAACCCACGCCCTTTCGGACCAGAGCCTAAATCTGGCGCCTTAGACCACTCGGCCAAACTGTCTTATACAAACATAAATTGTCCCATAAAATTATTCTTCTATAGTTTCTGGATTATGAATTTATGATTTTTAAGAAAAAAAATGCATATATATATATATATATATATATATATATATATATATATACGAAACAAGTTTTTTTAATTAATAAAAAAAATCATGTATAGATTATTTTTGTCTTCTAAAAATGATTTTAAGTTAAATTAAATAATTTAATGATTCACAGATATTATTGATAATATATATAATGTTGCACCTCCTTTTAAAGCGAATCAAAAGTGAGAACTCTTTACATTTTTCAACATGTTTGTTTGGTATAACGTTTAAGATATATGTTTTACAGAAATCAAGTAAAAAAGTGTGTTAAACGTGGAAGGTACAGATACTTCGTGTTGGTTCTACCGGGGATTAGTGTTAATGTGATGAGAAACTAAACACACGTTTTGGTTAGCTTGTGAAAAATGATGAAAAGATTAAATTTCAACTTCAATATTTCCTTTTTCCCTTTTTATAGATAATAGATGCACAATTTTAAAAAACAGACATATAATATAATATAATGGAAATTTTGAAAAATATATAAGAGCTAGTACATAAACTATACATCAATAATGAAATTAATTAAAATTGAATAAAATGAGAAAAACTATAGAAGTATATAGAATGAAATTATAATAAATATGTAATTTGAAAAGAAAAATAATAACTGAATCCAATTTTTTTGTTAAGTAGTTAATTGAGGATCGAGCGAGCATAAATGGCAGTGGCTAGTGGCGGTGCTGTTCGAGATTCATTATTGAAGTTGGAAGAAAGTCAGAAATGATCACGTTCTTACATGCAATGGCTGGGTCCCACTCCCATTTTCATTCTTGTACAGCTAGCCTTCAAGACAGACAACCATGGCAATTTACGAATGCAGCCTGGCTACGGTCCCACTCCCACATTAGTTTTGCATAATATATTCTTTCATTATTGTTTTTCCTTTTCACCAATTATGCCCTTCCCTCCTCAATTCTTTCATGTATAAATTGTTTATCAGTTTGGTAATGCACTCACAATTTTTCATTTTCTCAATCCATATAACAGATAAAAATCCTTAACCAACCAAAACCAATTATGTATATTTGTTTGTTTTCACTATAGTTTTACGTGATTTCTAATAAAACTATCTATTTACTAATTTTGTATTATTTATATGTGTAAGATATATAGGTAACTTTGAGGATCTAGTTATTCGAGAAGGGCACATTTGTACAATTGGTATTGGCACATGCCATATAATTAAATAGATAAACAAATCTTAGAATAAATATAAAGTGCGAAAAACAATACATGATGTTACAACTCTGTTATTTAATGAAGTGTTGCTTCTCGGGTTCTGAGATCTAGCTGAGAAACCCTGAAGAGCCCAAATTCTCCTCCCACTCAGAATGGATTCAAGGGCCTCTTCTTCAGTGTCCATGACTATTTTCCTTGCAGCAATCGTTCTTGCTCTTTTTCATTCATCAGAAGCAGCTCTGTCCAAGGGATCTTTTGAGGACAATTTCAGCATTATGTGGTCTGAGGAACATTTTACTACCTCTAAAGATGGACAGATCTGGTATCTCTCCCTAGACAAAGACACAGGTACCAAATGCATGACATTGAAATATACACTTTGTTCAACATGCATTGTATTTATTACGATTTGATAAGGAGCATTTGAACTGGTTGCATCAAATTTGATATTTGAGCTGTTTCTGAAAGCATTCATTGTTTGATAGGATGTGGGTTTCAAACAAAACAACGCTACAGATTTGGGTGGTTCAGTATGAAGCTGAAGTTGGTAGCAGGTGACTCTGCTGGCGTTGTGACAGCATATTATGTAGGTGTACAAAGCATTTTAAGTACAAAATTTGGTTGCCATTTTCTCACTTATTTGAATTGGAGTATCATCTTGGTAACTTGTATCAATCAGTGAAACGAATATTTATTATACAAATTATTGAAGTAAAAATCAGAGAATAATATAAAACTGCATCTAAGTTTTATTGACTGATTGGGGAATTGTTGCAGATGTGCTCCGAAAATGGTGCAGGGCCAGAGAGAGATGAACTTGATTTTGAGTTTCTGGGAAACAGAACTGGGGAGCCTTATTTGATTCAAACAAACGTGTACAAGAATGGAACTGGTGGGCGTGAGATGAGGCATATGCTATGGTTTGATCCAACTGAGGACTACCACACCTACTCCATCCTCTGGAACAACCATCAAATAGTGTAAGTTTCATCTTATACATTCTGCTTCCAGTTGCTGCTCTAACCTAACCTGAGTTCTTCTCACCCAAATCTCAGAACAAAAAAGAGTTCATATTCTTCAAACCGTGTTTGAAAATATCCTTTATGCTCTGTCGGCTTAAAGTTTCTTCTACCACCAGTAGTACCTGCAGTACCCTTACCACCAGCTTGGGCCCGTAAGAGGGATTGATGTTTTTTCCCTTAAAGGACCATAAACTTCAAATGTTACTTAATTTTTATTTTTTCTGAAAATCCTCTTTACAAAGATCTTCTCTTTATATAATTATATATAATATATATATATATATATATATTTATTTTTTTAATCTACTTGTTAAGAGAATTGAGTCCAGTAATTAACGACTTGCTAGTAATTAATATAGATTATTTTTAATATTTTAAATTTAATTAAAATAAACTAATAAGTATACATTTTAAACTCAATTATCCATTCCCATATAAATAACATTTTTTATAGTAATTACTTTAAGAGTAATTATAATTATGATATCTGACCAATTGAATATAAAACTTTTTACATTGAGTATGATATAGTTAATCTCATAATTTCAATGTCAAATGGGACTGAAAGAACAAATTTAAAATATTCATGTGAGTTATGTATTGTTTGTAAGATGGGGTGAATAAAATTTTGTTGACAGAAAGAGATGCAAATGGTTGTGAACAGGTTTTTTGTGGATATAGTTCCTGTGAGGGTGTTCAAGAACAATGGGGAAGGAAACAATTTCTTCCCCAATGAGAAGCCCATGTACTTGTTCTCGAGCATATGGAATGCAGATGACTGGGCCACAAGAGGTGGGCTTGAGAAGACAAACTGGAAATTAGCCCCATTTGTGTCATCCTACAAGGACTTCAGTGTGGATGGTTGCCAATGGGAAGACCCATACCCTGCTTGTGTCTCAACCACAACCAAAAATTGGTGGGATCAGTATGATGCTTGGCACCTCTCTGGTGATCAGAAAATGGATTATGCTTGGGTTCAGAGGAACCTTGTGATCTATGACTACTGCAAGGATTCTGAACGCTATCCAACTCAACCAGAGGAGTGTTCATTGAGTCCATGGGATTAGTATCATCCTATACCAAGGGGAAAAATCCTTATTCTTTTAAATCTCTCTTTTCTACCTCATGATTTTTTAGTTACCCTGAGAATAATGTGCAGTTTTGTATTTGTAAGCTTTTCAACTTTGCCAATTATATATTATATATTATATATTCAAACATTTATTTCACCCAACGCTGTTTACAAAACCAAATAAATATTAGAGAAATGAATAAACTAGTGTTATGAAACCTCAAAAATCTGGATTTAGAAGTGAATAGAAAAGTGGGAAATGGATAAAAACAAATATACACTTCAAAGTGTTATACATGGAATCTATAAGAAATAAACTTTTCTAAAAACTAAACTTCTTTATTATTAACATATTGTTATAGAATCACACAAAGCTAAAGAGACCTTTGAGTTTGTCAAAACATCTTTAACTCCAAATCTAAAATTGTATTCTCATGTCACTTATTTATTCAATACCTTTATGATAATTAATCTTAATAACATTATTATCACAATATACTTAAAATTAAAATAATATTAATTATTTAGTTATTTGTGTTTTACATTTGTAAGATAAATATAAATTAATAATATTGTAGAAACATTAAATAAACAACATTTTATTTTTTATTTAAATTAATTCATTTTTATTATTAACTTGTTTTTAATATGTGAATTCCACTAACAACTTTATGAAAATAGTTGACTTTATTAATAATTAAAAACAAAGTTGACTTTTAGAAAAAAATTGAGATTCTTCTAATTAGTTTTTAATTATATGTTTAACAAATTGATAAATAAAAATTATGTTAAAATATATTAAAAGTTATCAATGAAAATACATGTCAGTAGAAAATGATAATGTATATGTGCTGTGAATATATATATTTTTCTACATAAATGTTCAATAAAAATTTATCATGTTTTTACATCACATTATCGAAGAAAACAGAATAAATCCATATTAAATGTGTGCTAAAAAAATCTATTGTTCTATACTATATAAAAGATAATTTCTTAAATATAATTCGTGTATAGGGAAAGGATAATTTGATGAACTAGTTAAAAAGATTTCAATGTTTCAAAAAAGTATTAAAAAAATATGTTCTTAGTTTTTTCTTTTTCAAAATTTGTTTTTACTTTATATTTTAAGTTGATGAATTAAGTTCTCAAAATTTAAAAAGTTATGTAGTTTAGTTTTTTTTTATTAAAATTTAAGAAAATTGATAAAAATAAATAAATATGATTAATTATTTTATATTCAAAGTTAATATTTATGATATTTATTTTAAGGAATGAATTTTTTATTATAATAAATTCAATAAAAATATCATGTTTTTAAAAATTTAAAGATTAATTATCCATTTTTAAAATATAAGTCCTAAAATTAAATCTAATTTAAAAGTGTATTGCACATACTAAGGGTCAATAAAATAAGGAAAAGAGAGTAGTAGATGGGTGATTAAACAGCAGAGCGGAAAGGGGAATAGGGTTTTGTTGTTGTCGTTGCTTTGATTATCGAATCGCAAAATTCTGAATCCGATAAGACATTAAGACAGATATGGTCTGCGAGAAGTGTGAGTTTCATCTCCAGTTCGCTACATACCTTTCCTTCCCTATCTCTCCGTCAATTTTTATTTTTTGTAAGTTTCACTTGAATTTTTGAATTGGAATTTGGGTTGCAGGTGAGAAGAAATTAACGAAGGTGATAGTACCAGACAAGTGGAAAGAAGGGGCTAGCAACACTACCGAGGGTGGTGGCCGCAAGATCAACGAGAACAAGCTTCTCTCCAAGAAAAACAGGTCTTCGTGAACCTTCAATTTTCTTGTTTTTTAATTAATTTTAAAACTGGGCATGAGAAGCATAACATGGCTTTGTGTCACTTGTATATTTTTTCATTAGCAGATAACATGTTAAAGCGAATATGTCTAGTTTCGTGGCAGAATTTTATTTTTTTATTTTTTTTTGTAAATCGCTTGATACTTGCTTGGTGTAATAAATATTGAAATGTAGATTTTGTTTTATAATCAATCTGCAATGTGGATTTTTGTTTTCATGCTATAGTCTATTTTCACTTTGAGTCTCAATAGTATTTATGCTACTATATTTCATTTTTTTGTTATAGCACTCCCTCAAGAGGGGCGCAATCCTTGTCTAGGGAATTGGATGGGTTGAACTTGTTAAGATGAGATTCACCCTTGAATGTTAGGTTTTGAATTTTTTATGTTTGTAAATCGTATGCATCACTATGAGAGGGCTATGCATATTTGCGACCTGATATAGGGTTTTGGTTTCAAGGTTCCCTGCTCTATTTTCATCGCATACTTGGTTTGATGGTTGAAATATAATTTTTCTTTTTCATTTTCTTTTTGGGCAATGCATATTTACATGTAGATTGATTGTATTGGATGAGTTATGAAAGAAACCTAATTCTATCATATGGTAGTTAGTGATAAGGGAACTAGTCGGTTATTTTAAGCAAGTAGTTTTAATAACGAAGTAAACCATTTTTTCACTATTCCCAGTACCTAATTCTGTATGTAACGACATTTGAACACAATTAAATCTGTGTTATTACAATTTATTTTCTGTGGCATGAGTATTGACATTCCTCCCTTAGACTTCACCTTTAACCCTGATCACTCTCCCTTTTCATAGCTATCTCCTACACTTTAGTTTTGTTTCAAACTTCATGTTTGTAGTCAATTTCTATTTATATATTTAATAGTTAGAACTCTATATCTGTATTTTGATTTATGAGGCACTTGCGAAATATTTTTAATATAGCTGTCTCAAACGTACGTCAAAACTACTATATGTTCCATGTCGTGTTATAATGTGTGCAAGTTTAGTATTGACTTGGAAATGATGCTGAATACTATAAGTATTGTTTTTTAGATTTGTATAATAATGATTATAAGCATGCTTCTTGTTTTTCATGGTCCAATAGCTGCCAAAAGCTTTCCTGATTTCAGCCAGTTCCAGCCAAAGTAAATGAGCAAGTACACTTAAGTGAGGGACATTACCTTTTTGTAAATCTGTATGCAAGTCTTGTGCTTCTCAGATGGTCCTTGATATTATCGGCAAATTTTTATCTAATGTTCTATTATACCTTAGCTGCTTGAGTCACATGTTCCTTTTTCTCCTTTTGTAACCTTGATATTTGTTCCACCATTCATGTTTCAGTAATTAATAATCTTTAAACAATGCACTTATTCTTAAATTAATTTCTTGCAGATGGACCCCTTACGGAAATACTAAGTGCATCATATGCAAGCAGCAAGTGCACCAGGATGCCAAGTACTGCCACACCTGTGCTTACTCTAAAGGTGCTATTTCCATGTTGAGATGTTTTTGCACTTGGTACCATATATTTTTTTCCCCATTTGGTACAGTGTGTTTTATATATGAAGTGCATGACTCCATTATTGATGTGTTCTGTATAGGAGTTTGCGCGATGTGTGGCAAACAAGTTCTTGACACCAAGTTTTACAAACAGAGCAATGTGTAGTGAATGCTAGTACTGTACTGCATGCTGCATCTTCTTTTAGGTGCATAACAGGATTACCTTTCTTTCTAATTGTTAGGTGATTGTATTGCTGACAATGGATTGAAGCTGCCCTATATCTCTGTCTTATGTACTTGGAGAATTTTTACTATAGATCCAAATCATAAACCAATAGTGTTAAACTCCTGCTATAATTAGATGAGATACTGTGATAAAATTCTCATTTCAGCACGGATTAAGCCTAGGACCTTTCTCAATAATTACACGCCTGTTTTCTTGTATTGGAAAGATAGATAATGGATGAAGTTATTGGAGTATGAAGTATTAGTTGAAGTTTATGTATTAGATGCAACCTTATACGAAATTTCGCTGGAAGGATCGACGAAGTGGTCCAAAATTGGAATTGGAATTAGCACTACATGCTTGTACATTTATTACTGAGTATACTACCAGAAGAAAAGGGCCGAACGATATAAGACCGTGTTCGTCTACGAAGGGTATTTTTTATTTCGAAACAAGGTGAGTAAAAAAAATTAATTGGATAGAGGATAAACTAATGTTTTTTATTTAATCGGAGTTTAATTATATTTAATAAAATAATAATTTAAAGATAATAATATAATAAATTTATTAATAACAATAATATTTAAAAAGAATAGTTATAATAAAAAAAAATTATTATTATATTATCATAAATTATGATAAATATGATAGATATAAAATATAGGAGTTAAAGATTATTATTTAAAGTTAATATAATTTTATAGATTTATTTTTTATAAAAAAAGCTTATCTTTTAAAAAAATATTTATTTATTTTTACTAATATACTAGTTTAATTAAAATTGAGTTTTTTAGTAACAACAAATCAATTCTCTATTAGAACTAAATCAATAAATTTGATATTATTTAAAAAATTCGGGGAATAAACTATTTATATACGTGGTGTAATTATTAATAAATCTAAAAGTTTGGTAAACAAGTTTCTATGATCTACCTTCAATTTTTTTCATAATTTGAAAAACTTATCTAGTTGAAAATTAAAAAAAAATTACCTTAACAATCTTAACTTATATTTAAACGAAGAATTTATAAAGAATTGTATAAAGAATTTTATTTTATAAAAAGAAATTGAAATGTTTAACAAAAACATATATGGTTTAGCATAAAATTTTGATACAAATTAGAATTTAAAATTTTATAATAAATTTAATTGTTTAAAATTATAAAATTTTAAATTTTATCTTAAATCAATATGAAGTAAAATCAATATACTTTATTTTTTTATATTCACTCTTTCATATTTAATTCAATATGAAGTAAAATCATATTTAATTCAATATGAAGTAAAATATTTTTTTACTTACCACTTGTCCAATCGAATAAAATGAGATATGATTTAACTCAAATTTAAATAAACTTATCCACTTATTTAATTTAATTCAATGAATAATCTTACAAATCTATATGATCTAGCTCACCTTACCTAAACCTATCAACTTAATTTAAATAAATCTAATTTACCTTAATTATGCCTATTTGGATTTGATCTCAATGAAGTTGTAATTGTTTTATTTAATATTTAACGTAGATATGTTGTAATTATTTTTATTTAATATTTGACGTAATTTTTTTTAACTGAATGAAACTATAAATTAAGTTTACTTAAGTTTTATTTTTGTCTCTTTCTACCTTAGTCTCATATATTAAAAAAAAAACTATATTTTTTTTAAATATTTAAACATTAGTAACAATTTAAATGTTATTATAATAGATTGAGAGAAAAATAGAAAATTAAGATTTTTTTTAAATATAGATTAAAACAAAATGTCAAAATGGAAAAATAAAAGTTGTTGTCTCCAATTCCAAACTGTCTATTGTTATTAAAAAAAAAAACTGAATTCGCCGTTCCTATATGGGTGCTTTTAAATTTTTGATAATAATTTCACGCATTTATTTTTTCAAAAATATTTTTACTGTCCGAGTACCTTTATACATGAAAATATATTTTACAGGATCAAGAATGTGAATGTTCTAAAAACATGGTTCAAATATAACTGCGATGCTATATATTTCTATCTCATCAGTATTTTTAAAATAACTCAAATATAAAATCGAGATAAATATATCTCCAATTATTATGAGAAAGCATCTTACTGAATGAACTTAAAGAGGTTGACGTACTTTAGTTAAAAGTGAAGAAGGTATGAGTTTAAGTAGAGCTACTTAAGAAGGAAACTGGTCTCAAATAAATAGGTCTCATGAATTAATTCTTTCAAGTACTGAATAATTTTCTTGTGTCCATTGGCATTATTAAGGGAAACAAGGCAATTCTTTGATCAAAATACAGATAGCAAGTGTTAATATAGTCGTTCCTTCACAAACATCCTAAATGAACATAACATCCACTTCACACATCACACCCGCGATTGTCGTATAAGACAACATACGATTTCCATTCACCACACATGAGTTCAATGGATTTACTCATCCATCCCAAACATACATTAATAATAATAAATATATTACACAATTATCACATACATATATATTATATAGATATATAAAGTTTAATCTTATTAAGGGGACAATACAGTCCAACACAAACCAAATTTAAAATTTATTTGAAGGGTCATAAAGCGCCGTTCAATATCACAGATTCTGAAATTTAACATGGTCACATAGAGATCAGGCCCAGCTTAAAAGCCCCCACGAAGACGCAAGACAAGGTGAAGGGTGGACTCCTTCTGGATGTTATAGTCAGCAAGGGTCCTCCCATCCTCCAACTGCTTCCCTGCAAAGATCAACCTCTGCTGATCCGGTGGAATGCCCTCCTTGTCCTGGATCTTTGCCTTGACATTGTCAATAGTGTCCGAACTCTCAACCTCAAGGGTAATGGTCTTACCAGTGAGGGTCTTCACAAAGATCTGCATACCACCACGAAGACGCAACACCAGGTGGAGGGTAGATTCTTTTTGGATGTTATAGTCAGCCAGGGTCCTTCCATCCTCAAGCTGTTTGCCGGCGAAGATCAACCTCTGCTGGTCCGGGGGAATTCCCTCTTTGTCCTGGATCTTGGCTTTGACGTTGTCAATGGTGTCAGAACTCTCCACCTCGAGGGTGATAGTCTTGCCGGTGAGAGTCTTGACGAAGATCTGCATGCCACCACGGAGACGGAGGACGAGGTGAAGGGTTGATTCCTTCTGGATGTTGTAGTCGGCGAGGGTTCGCCCGTCCTCAAGCTGTTTACCGGCAAAAATGAGACGTTGTTGGTCTGGAGGAATTCCTTCTTTGTCCTGGATCTTGGCCTTGACGTTGTCAATGGTGTCGGAGCTCTCGACCTCGAGAGTGATGGTCTTTCCGGTGAGGGTCTTAACAAAGATCTGCATCTGCTGAGTAAAATAACACAATCAGATCAAAATAATAAATAATAACCTAACTAAATAATTCACGATTAAATGAAATAAATATCAAAAATCAGATCTGAAGAATTTCATAAAAAAGACCCCAATCTGGGTTAGGGAATGAACAATAAATAAATAGCATCTCTATTCAGGGATCTAAAAAATTTTCAAGTATTAAACTCTAATTAAACCATTCACGGATATAAAAATTTTTAAGTATTAAACTCTAATTAATAACGATGAAATTGTGCAAACCCTATGTAAAATATAACAAACTCGTGAAGAAAAAGAGATAATTAACACAATGAATGAAGAAAAAAAATACAAGGAAATGGAGGAACCTTCAAGGGAGAGGTAAGAAACTGTGCAAATAGAATAATCTAGTTTGTTTGGAATTGAATTGTGAAAAACGTCAAGGGGTTTGAGCCATTTTATAGTCAAAGGGGTGGAACCCTCTCTAATCATGTCACGCGTGTCTATGTGCGGTTATTTGATGCTTATGACACGGGTGATATGTGGTGTGGATGGGTTTTCGCGGAGTCTTCTAGGAAATTGAGGATTGTAATTTGGCACGTCGCTGGCGGTTTGGAAATGTTGACGGAGTCGGACGCACGTTCACGCTTGTCCTAAACTATTATGAAGTCGTTAATGTATTGGATCCCATGTCAACAATTGGGCCCAACATATTGCAAGTGGGAGTGGAACGTTCTCGGTTTACGACGATTATTTTACATAATTAAAATATCTATGCAAAGCAATCATGTCGGATTTTTTTTATGGAAATGGAAAAACTTTTATGTACTGTAATTATCCACTTTTCTAACTCTTAAACAAACTATGAAACTTCAAGTTGACGGATTCACCAATAAAATAGGTTGTTGAGAAAACAATAATGATAATTAAAGAAAACGTAAGAGTGATGAGAATCATGATCATCTTTCAAAATTATAGTTTCCATATGGATAAGCTACACCACCTAATCTACATGTGGACAAGTTGTAAGGTTATAGATGGTGTAAATGTTCCTTTTATTATAATCTTTTTCACTGAAATTGCGCAAAAACTACTTAATTCTCAGTAGTTAATACAGGTGCTCATGTGTTGTTTGCGAATAATTTTAGAAAAATAAAATAAAATCAAACAGCATTTAAAGGAAACTCAATCAACTAAGATTTTGTTAACCATCTACTTTTATATATTAATGAAAATTTATCAACTCGTTAACTTTCAATTAACTGTATTTTAATATTGGTTTCTTTAATTACTTTACTTTTGCTTAGAGAATAAGTATTTTACTTTTGTTTAGTGAACTTTACATAATATAATGTAGTCCTATTTAAGTAACTAGTATTTATATAAATTTTGTTCTAATTTTTGAAAAACATACAATACAAGGTGTTTTTACGTGGTTAATAAAATGAAATTATCAACTATATTTTTTTTACAAATGATTTTTCCTTTTTTTGACTTTATTACTCATTGGTCAACCATTTATTTTGTTCCAAAAAACAAATGATTATTTTGGAATATTAATAATAAGGGAGGTATATGGGATCTTTAATTATGGCGTTTAATTCTATAACTTATATATGATACGAGTAAATGGTAGGTTGTGTAATTTGTATTTATGAATAATTGTGGGATTTTGTATGTAAGCATTAATCAGAGAGTGGATTAAAAAACTTAGCGTGGCATACATATCTTATGAAAATAGTATATTTAAAAAAAAATTATAATTTAATTTACTCTTTTTCTCTTTGAAATATTATAATTTTGTTCCAACCTGTTTTTAGGTAAATATCTTATCACGACGGTTCAAGAATTTGGGAGGCCTAAAACAAATTTAAGAATGAAACATTTTATTTAATAATAAAATAATTTTATGTTAAAATGTATCATAATTTTATTTAAAATTTATTTTCTAATTTTTTTATGCAAAATTATCTATTAAATTATTATAATTAATTTTATTTAATATTTTTTTATAGATAATAAAGCCAATGTATTTAATCTTTGTTGAGACATGATTGATCTTAAATAATTTTTTATTATTTTTAATTTTAAAAAACTCCTTTTAGTTGAAACAACTGATACTCGGAATTGTTAACATTATTTTATAAGCTATATATGCATTTGGAAAAGAATTTATTTTTTTCACCTATGTCTATATTGTTATTATCTTGTTCATTCAAAGAGCACTCACCTGTATTTTTTAATTCATTTTTCTTATCTATTTTTATAAATTTATCAATAGCTCATTTTTGTGATGAAATTAAAGTCTCGACTCTTCTCTTCTTTTAAAGTTTTGAATAATCTGATTCATATTTTCTAGTTGATATATCTATATATTTTTATATGAAATAAAAAATTATAATATATAAAACACTACTAAAGATAAGTATATAAAAAATAATGAATCGAAACAATAAAATCTGGTTTTGGTTATGAGTTATCAAGAAAATAAACTAGAACGAACCGAACGAAATTATAAAGGCGCAAACAATAAAAGTTAAATTTTAGATTTTTACCTAATATGATGTACTGTCACTATAAAGAAAGAAATGTCAAATAACTCATTGCTTGAGTTGCGTTGCCTCCTTCTACCCCTTGAAATCAGTGAAATCGAAACACACACAAGCGAAACGTCAACAATGAACACAAGTACACAACATATAAGAGATGACTCAGATGTGAAATTGAAAATATTGAGTCATTAACTAATGTGTGTTATGTGTATGTATCAAATACTCAAACTGAGTAGTCTAAAAAATAAAGAGAATGAATGGATGAGAATTAAAAAGTCACAGAGAGACAAGAATATAAAAATTAAAATTAATTAATAAAAAAATAGAGATAAAAAAGAAATTTTTTTGAATTTCTTTAACTATTAATATTAACTAACCATTTAAAAAAAATTATTTATTAAAATAAATTGTTAAAAATAATATTAGTATTAAAAAAAAATTAGAAGGCCTTTTTTTATAGAGGTCGAAGCACCAATTAAACTTTGTGGCAATTTCTTTCTTCTTCTTTACCAACTCATTATTGTCGAAATGTAATTATTTCTTAGCCATTTAATAGCTTTTATGGAAATCGTATTATTTGCTATTTGAAAATAGGAAGATTCGTATGGTTTATGACTTGGTCCACTTGGAGGGTTTTATAATTGTGGTTTTATTATGATCTAAACTGTTTGAGATTGTTTTAATTCATTGCCTGTGATTTTGTGTCTAGGTTTAAAAGGTGAGTTTGTTTTCTTTTCTGCTGTGTTTGGTTTGGTTGTAAATTCATTGGATGCGTCATTATTTTTTCTGTAATGTTATGCTACCTTATTGGTAATGGTAATATGTTATACAGGTTGCAGTTTTCCTCCCCAATGACTTCCTTTTGTGTTTGCCTTTAATAAACTTGTGAATGTGAACCATTATGAACAGGGATAATCATCTATGGTTGGCCTGTATTTGTGCTAATAAATTTATGTTGTGTTTATGTCATTTGGTTGTGTATAATAATTGTTTCATGCTTGTAGGATTTCCATGTGCAAGTGTTACGGAACTTTGTTCCACAGTGTGTCCTTGATTTCGGCAATCGAAGATAATATGCTTCTATTACTATTTACTTCCTTCAAGTTTGGATTATACCATTATTTTCTATTATTACCTAATTTCCCTTTTCTAATTGTTTAGCTCCCCTTCAATAAAATTCAAACTTTTCCAAGGAAAATATTTATTTCATTATCTATGTTAGGTGCAATGTGTGTTAGGCCATCACTCATATAAAAACTAGAATTAATATGTGTAAGGTTAGGTCATTTCTAAGTCAGTTGCGTACTTTGTCTGTTATTGAGGATCATGGTTGGAATTTGATGATAAAGGAGCTTATTAAGTTATGATGCAGGAAAATAACCCAAACCTTGAACTGAGCATTGATTTTATCAAATAGTTTATTATCTAAAACATGATACTATCTTTGTTTTAATGTAATATTCATAAAAAAGACATTACCAAATGTTATGAAAAGTATGATTTGTAACTAGACAAAGAAAGAGACATATCAAACAATATATACTAACTCTGAATTATATTGTCATTTATAAGGCACAATAACAACTTATACATCTATTTCTGTTGTAAAAGCTAACAGAGACACGAACAAACTTTATTCCTGAGACGTGTATAATCACTGCCCTTAAGGACTTATCCGCGGTGTATTGCACAAGTCCCCCAGGATACAACAGGAACTTCTCGGAATATCCGAGGATCTCAGAAACTAGCAAGAAACTCTCAAAAGAGTAAATTAACCCAGGAACACAGAAAAAGATCAGAGAAGAGAAGATGAGAGAGGTGTGTTCAGAAGAGTGTGAAGTGGTCTCTATTTATAAGAGAAAGTCTGTAACAGTTATGGAAGACTTGGTAGTGGGTCTGTAACGTTTCCTGTAACATTCTCTGTAACGTTCTCTCAAACGTTCTCTGAAACGGTCTTCTGCAACGTGTGCTCTGAAACAGTCTTCTGTAACGTGTGCTCTGTTTTGCAATACCCCTTAATTTACAACAATCCACCACATATTGCAAAACAAAAGGGGATAAAAGAAATAAAAGAAGAAAATCCTGGGTCTCATATAAGATGTAATGCATCAGAGCTGGTATAGCAAGCTATATGAACCAGTCTTAGACTAAAAAACTTAACACACAGTGTAGTTGGTGTAGTAAGCTATATGAACCAAAACACTTAATGTGTGTTAGCGGTTTTAATAATCACAATACACCCCCACAATTCTTGCTGTTATCGCTGTGTTGCGCTTACTAGGCCATGCGCGTGCCTGGTATTCATGAGTGCTCTAGAAATCTTGCAAAGATCTCATACAAGCGGCCCCACTCGACACTCATATAGGTGACTTCATCAAGCGTATGCTGCAAATCATACACCACTCTTAAGGGATATGAAATCGTTTAAAAACTTTGTTTAGACTAAAATTCGTACTCCACGTAGAATTTTAATTACAAAGTTTAACCTCTCAATAATGCAATATCTAACACTTTCACATATACACCATAGGAATGGACATAATTGATTTTAATCAATTTTAGTGCTAGCAGAACTAACAAGTGACTTGTTTTTACCCATATGAACCTTATTCATGGGATATCCCATCACAAAGGTTGGGTTACCATCACCTGTTTGTTTGCAAGTTGCTTAAGGCCCATTCCCCTTGATGTTTCTAAAATCATATTTCTCGCTAAGGGTTTTGTCGGAGGATCTCGCTAGATTCCGTTCGACTTCACATAGTCAATGGAGATTGTTCCATTCTTTAGCAATTGCTTCACTAAATTATGTCTCAACTGTATATGTCTGTTTTTTCCATTGTAGTTCTTATTTTTTGCTATAGCTATTGCCGATTGACAATCACAGTGTATTGATACAGACGGGATTGGTTTCATTCCTAATGGAATGTTTACTAAGAAGTTTTTCAACCACTCAGCTTCACTACCAGCCATTTCGAGAGCAACAAATTCAGATTCCATTGTTGATCTTGCAATAATTGTTTGTCTGGCTGATTTCTATGTAATCGCACCACCCCCGAGTGTGAATACATAGCCACTAGTGGATTTTGTCTCATCTGAATCAGAAAT